CCTGGGCCTCTGCTTCATACTTGCCGATGCTGCTAGGAAAGAATGCGGCTAGAAACGCACTCCCTCACCGCCAAAATGCCTCCCGTGCAGTAGCTGTTGGAGATCCATTCAGTGGCAAAGTGCACAACAGTTAACAGGGGTTAAAAAATCAACCAAATGAGATGGAAACAAATGCACAATGGGAATGAACACACTCTACACATGTCAGAATTTGAACAGGCACAAGAAGACAAAATTTTAGGTCCCAACTACTGAGAATGCCCCTTTCCTTCTCTGGGAGGCCATCTATGGTCACGTCTGGGCTCAGTCTCTTAGAAGGACTTCTGGTTAATGATAAGTGATCACCCAAGTGAATGATGAGCGGTGAGACGGCAGCCAAGTCTATGGCCTGAGATGCCACAAAATGCACACCTATCCCACTGAAGAGAGGCTGCTCCTGCCAGGTCAGCCTGATTAACCTCCACATCTGGTTCTAAAGGCATCAGTGGAATGGACAGATCCATCATCATCAGAGCAAGAACTTTACTTCACTCACCTTTGCTTCCATCCCCAAGAAGAGTGCTTCACATGTTGTAGGCCCTTGGTAAGTATTTACTGGATGCATGAATGGGGAGTCTGTTCTACTGGGAACACCTGTACGGTGGTAAGACGTCTGAGCCAATATAGAAATGAAACTCCTCTACTACCCAGCTTCAGTAAAGCTTATCTTAATGTCAGCGTTTCCAAGGCAGCTCCATGCTGGTTATATACTACTTTGGAATTATTTTTTTGTCCCAGGGAGATAGTTCCATGAAGTCATGGACACAGCGGTCTCCTTTGAGGACTAAAAGAACAGGCAAGCTTTACTACAAATGTACCAACTGCAACAGCAGAATTCCAGAATGATAATATATAGAAGGGGACTTTGGTATGTAGCCCTCCTTACCACCCTCAGATCATCTATAACAGTTGGGCTGGTCTTCTCTCTCTGCACAAGTGGTTTTGCCTTTACTCTACATCTTGGCCCATGAACATCTCTCTCCATTCTGTCTGTGGTACAAACCTTCACTAGGTCTCATCTGAGCTGTTACAATACCACAACTGCTCTCCTTACAGCTGATGCCCTCTCTCTCCAGTTCATCTCTTATGGTCCATCTTTTAGAAGAAACTGGAGCCACATGGAGAGGCCATGTGCAGATGCTCTAATCAACAGCTCCAGCTGAGCCCAGACATGGAGTTATTCCAACCCAGGCACCAGATATGGGAGTAAGGAAACCACCAGATGGTTCCAGCCGCAGCCATTCAAGGCTCTCCCAGCCACTGGAAACTTCCCAACTGAGTTCACAGACATTGTGGAGCAGAGAGAAGCCAACTCTACTGTGCCCAGTCTGATTTGCTGAGCCACAGAATCTGTGAGCAAAATAAAACAGTTGTTTAATGCCACTAAGTCTGGGGTGGTTTGTAACATAACAGTAGACACCTGGAACACCTCCCCACAAGACTCAGGGATCCTGGAAGGTGGGGAAACATTCAGCCATCACTGTATCCCTAATTTATATTATGGGGGGCATGAAAGAGGCTCTCACCAACTATCTTCTAAGTGCAAATGAAAGGCTGAATGTCTGCTACCTTTCGTATTTTGGGCTTTTTTTTAATGTTCAGCTTTCCAAAGTTCACGGAATTTTGGAAATCTAAACCTTTGGACCAAAACTAACATAGGAAATATATCTATGGGTTAGGTTTAGCCTACTGTGTTTTTAGAATTCTTACAAAAATGGCCCTTCAATTTTCCTTTCTTCGTGGTATGAACTCCTATGGGAGAAGTTGGACCTGCTATTGCAAAGCAAACTGAAATGGCACAAAATAGAGGAAAGTATTCAGTAAAAAGGGAAAATCAATCCAATTCAGTTAAGTGCATGTCATTTGTTCCCTTTTCCAATCAAAGTGTCCATCCTGTGTTCCTCTGTTCCATTTTACATAAGGGAAAAAATTTCTAACTGCCCCATGTGCCCATGATTTTCCTCTCCTACCAAATCAAAATTCAATACCCAAATGCTATTCAACATAACTCTGTAATTGCTTTGGCTCAATACGATGTCTGTAACATTGAAGTTCCTTTAAAAAGTGTATCTTAAAGACCCAAAAAGTGGTGATGCTTTACCCTGGTAGCACACTAATTTCGTAGTTCTCTGGTTTTGTCAGGGAAAGAGACGCTCAGAGTAAGTGAATTTTCCAGATAGCCTTCCCTGACATAGAAGATCTTACTTAGAAAGCCCATGAACTCTCCCACCACAGGGAACTGGTGACCCCTGCAGTACCTTGGGCTGAATGAATAAGGCCTGGCCAACCCTTGCTTGTCAGTAAACGCTGGGCTGTAGAAGTTTCCAGTCCTTAATTGCATCAAGGCTGAAGGTTGTACACATAAACCCCAAGGGCTCAGTTGGAGCAAACCCATCAGTGACTAAGATTCCTCCATGGAAAGTGGCAGGTACGGAGCAAAATTAATAACCTTCTTCTCAAGCTTTAACACTATTTATTTACAGAGACTTGGATTGCAGAGAACTGGTCTCCCTGCCCAAGGCTTCAGGCGCCTTTGACTCCTTGGCAGCCCGACAATGGAAGGGTCAAACTTTCTAAACACACTGATTCAGGTCATATCAAAAGTATTATCTCTTGAGTCCCCTGATATGTACAAAAAAGATTTATTCTCCCCTGCACAGATTTCATGTGTCTACTTTCACCATGATTCACTCTGTCAAGGTTCTTACTGACATCATTAAATGCTTAATTTCCAGCTTCTTATTAAATCATTTATTCATTCACGTATCCCTCTGTGCAGCATTTATTCAGCACTCATGATGTGCCAGGCCCAGATTAGATGCTGAGAATAGAAAGATGAACAAGACCAGCTCTCATCTTAGGGAATTCACAAGCTGGTGAGGAAGGGAGACAAGCTAACAATTGACTGGAATATCGCTGGGGTCAGCAAACCACAGCCTGTGGGCTAAATCTGATCTGCTACCTATTTTTGTGTGTAACATTGTACAGGAACCCAGACACACTCATTTGCTTATATATCGTCTATGGCGGCTTTCAGGTTACAACAGCAGATCTCAATTGTTGCATCTAAGATGCTGTGGCCTGCAAAGCCAGAAATATTTACTCTCTGGCCCTTTACAGAAAAAGTCTGCTGACCGCGGCAGGGTGCTGTGATGTGTGGGATAACAGAGAATATATTCCATATTCAGCAGTCCACAGAGGGCAGGATGGGTCACCAAGGAGCACCCGCACTGAGCAGGAAGTGCGGAGGGACAGTCAGGAATGACAGCAAAGGCAGAGAACAATAGGTAAAAGGTTGCAGTGGGGGGGGGGGTGCTTCTGAGAACGGTCAGGTCATGGGGGAGGACAAAGGTGTGCAGGGAGATGGCGCTGAGGAGGGCAGGTCTCTGCAGACCATGAGGAGGCCATGCTGGATTCTGTTCTGTCAGAAATAGGGGTTCTTTATAGGATTTTAAGTAGAAGAGGCAACAGAAACTAGATTGAAAAGAGGTGAGCAGAAAGGCCAATCCAAAAACATTGGGAAAAAAAAATCAGTGATGCTTTGACATGTTTTAAAAATAAAAATTATGTACAAAGGCCGAAAAAAAAAAAAGGCATTACACTATCCACCAGGAAACTTGTTTCAATATGTTTGGAGTAGCAAGAAGTGTATTTTAATAAAATTATTATCTTAAAAAAAAAAAGATTCCAATGCATTGCTCTAAGCAAGAGATGATGACTCAGAAAAAAAGGCAATGGCCGTTGGAGGGAGAGGAAGATTCAAAGGTCTCAAGGAAAACGAATCAACCAACATTAATTTATCACATAACTCAGTGAACATTCTATGTGGTGTAATAACTGCAGTGGCCAAGAAGCCATCCCAGAAAGGCTCAGGCCAGGACCAACGTGGACCTGCGGGGCTCAAAAAGGAAAATCTTTGGTAGGCCTTATTTTATGACTATAACTAAATGGCAGCTGGTGAACTGAGTGGATGGGTGACTTGCTTGTTGATCACAGGGACACCTTTATTCACTCTTTTAAACTGTTCTAATCTGTGATACTTCTGACCGTCTTTACTGACCTTCTTGACACTTCCTTCTAGGTGGCTACAGCAAGCCTATAAACCTGCTGCCCCCTGCACCAGAAGGCACCAGAAAGGGATGCTGTTCTAGCTGATATTTTTTCTATTTCTACTAACCATGGCTGCCTCTGTTTTCCTCTGCTGCTTCTCAAGACGTCGCCGAGCCTCCACAACTCTTCCCACTCTCCCACTGCCGGTCTGCCGCCCCTCCAGTCTCTGGCTAGGAATCAGGGAAAGCTACAACGCTCCAGAACAAATGATAACACTCAATATCGTATGTAAAATCTCAGTCCCATTGTCGAAAGTTAGAGACATTAGTGTAAACTTACATCTACATTTAGAAACAGGTGGTTACCTATGGAAGTAATTATAGCTGTGTCTAGATGCACGGGTTAGTCTACGCCTCGCTTCTCCAACTGACAAAGCTCTGCAGCAATGACACGCCAGGAGCAACCAGCACAACTAGGACCCAGATCATGGTTTCTAATACTCTTCTCAGTAAAAGGAACCAGGGCCCCTTGGAAATGTACCATATGAGCCTAGAGTATCTTGTAGTGCCAGAAAGCAAGCAAACACTCATAGTTTTTAAACCATAAAATAGAGGAAAGTCAAAGGGACACAGGGACTGACTGAGAGAGCTCCCAACAGTCAAAGCTAGAAAAACTTGTGCAACAAAATAAGGTAGACATAGATTATAACTCAAAGCATAAAGCAAATATCCACAAGTCCATTGTAACAGAAATAAATGGCTAAATAGATAAATAATTGGGAAAGCAGAGAAAAAATCAAATATCCCATGCAGAACTATTCCAAATAATTTACATAGATACTATGTCTCAAAGAGATGGAGCATAATTCCCCTCTCAAGCTGGGTGGGTGGCTGGCTGCATGAAATCACTTCCTTCCGAAGAGTACAGCGTAGGAAGGTGGGAGAAAGTGACTGGACAGTGGAGGAGCCGACAGACATGACCACCGCCAGGAGATCAGAGACGCTGAGAACATGTGCCCTTGACATGATGGGATAAGGATGTCACTTCACCTCTGTGGTCTTCCTCCCCAACACCCACCAGCACAGTGGAATCGTGGGAATCCCATCAGACAAATCCTAACTGAGGAACAATCTACAAACAACTCACCAGTATTCCTCGAAACTGCCAAAGTCATCAAAACAGGGAAAGTCTGTAAAGTTGCCACAGCCGAGAGCAGCCCAAGAAGTCATGGTAACAAAATGACTATAAATGGAACGTGGCATCCTGTATCCTGGAACAGGAAAGGGACATTAGGGGAAGAGTAAGGAAACTGAAATAAGCTGTGCACTTTAGTTGCTAATATTAATAGTGTATCAATATTGGTCCATGAATTAAGACATATGTACGCATCTTACTCATGTAAGATGTGGATAAAAGGGGTAACGGGGCAAGGGGGTATATGGGAACTCTCTGTGCTATTTTGGCAATTTTTCTGTAAACCTAAAACTATTCTAAAATAAACAGTTTATTCAAGAAAAATTAAGTCACCAGGCTTGGGAAGAAAGGATGAAGGGCCCCAATCCCACAGACTCTGCTGTCCTGAGGATGGAGGTTCTTGCCCATCCAGGTACACCCCGGTCCTAAAGGTTCTGGCCCCTGACGGTGGATCAGGGTGACCTTCATGCACTTAGGACAAGACTCAAGGCTTAAAGGCTTTCAAAAGGCTATCCGAACAATTATTTCTTATATGCACTCTTGTCAAATTTATTCTTCCACAAGATAACAAGGCTCAGATTCAACAAGAAAGACAAATCTACCCAGAAAATGACAAAAACTCATGTGACGTTTGGAAGTCAATTGGTAGGAATGTGTTAGAGAAAGACCGCTCCCTGTAGTCCTCATTTACGAGCTTCTCAAACTGGCTCCTAAACTAGCTTCCAGCTAAGAAAATGTGTTAAAACATCCATAAAACGGTACTCATAAGCCCTCCATCAACGAAATCTAATTGAAGCTTATAAAGAGAGAGAACACCAAGTACTTCTTAAAAAGGCAAAGGGGAAGAGTTTGGTCTTCTATAGCCAGCAGGACCGTGTGATACAGCTGCTTTCTCCCAGGCTCCCAAGGGAGGGGCGAGTGCTAGGGTCCCCTAGAGTCCCTGGGTTCTCAGAGCCCATGTCACATCATGGCATGACACCACTGGCTGCAGCAGAGAGGCTGGGCTCTAGAGTAGAACTCGAGACAGGTAAGTGGGATTCACTTCTACTCTTTCCCTCCTTGATTAAACCAGTCTACTGCTCCAACCAACAATTTTCTCATATAGAGGACTTCCGGGCAAGATGGCGGAGTAGAAGGACGCTTGTAAGTCACCCTCTCCCACAAATACACCAGGACCCACATCTACAGACCCACTCAGCCAACCAGAGCACCTGCGGAACTCCAACAGATCATCGCCCTCTTCAAAAGATAAAGACGCCAAAAATCTGGGAACTTGCTCCACAGGGACGAACAGGCAGCTGGGTCTTGGCTCGGAGCAGGGACTGACGGGGACGAGGTTGCCCCTCGGTCTTCCCCGAGCCCACCCGCGGAGCGCGACCGGGGCGGAGCGCCATTGCAGAGTGCGCAGCCGCACATAGCAGCGGAGCTACCGGCGGCGCAGGCAGGGGGAGAGCGGCCCCCCCGCCGCCTGTCGGGCAGGAACACAAACCCTGACCGAGGTGCTGGGAAGGGGCACGACCCGCCCTCCTGCCTGGCCAGTCTGCAACATCTGTCTGCGGCATCCGGAGGGGCAGTGACCCGCCCGCCCGCAGCAGAGGAGAGCTGCATCTGACCCCGTGTTAGGAGGAGGGGCGATCAGCTTGCCGACAGGTGCTGGGAGCAGCACAGAAGAGGGCGCCAACGGAGGGCCTCTGAAAACAAGCTGAGCTTCCAAAACAGGACAAAAACAGAAGGACTTCACATTAAAAGCACACAGACTCCAGGAGAACACCGACAACTCCCTTTTTTTG